GTCCTGGCACAGGCTGCCCAGGGAGGTTGTGGAGTCTCCTTCTCTGGAGATATTCAAGCCCTGCCTGGACGCGGTCCTGTGCAGCCTGCTCTGGGTGACCCTGCTTGGGCAGGGGGTTGGACAGGGTGACCCATAGAGGTCCCTTCCAACCCCGACCATTCTGTGATTCTGTGAAAACATTTTATTCCGTTGATGAGCTAAGCAGATTGCGTGGGGGGAGATACGCAGATCTCGGGTCCTGCGTCTACGCACGCAGCTCTTAGCGATGGGCACCGGAGTCGTACGCGTGGCCCAGAACCACTGTACGGCTCAAGGAGTCCTTTGAGCCAGCCGAAGGCTTTTCACTGACTTTCAGGGTTGGACTGGTCCCTCGGTGGACCGTTTGCCTGCTGACAAATTGCCATTACTTCACTAATTCTTCTGAGTTTACCTTTTTGGTTTTTTTTAAGTGTGTGACTGACTGTTTGGCATTACAGCCCACGACAGCACTTGGTTTTCACTGCATCAGCGTAAAGGGCACGCAGGTATATTCTACCTCCTGATCCTTTTCTTCTTCTTCCCTTTCTTCTGTCTCTTTAATCATCAAACACGCTTCAGGCAGGCCCATATGGGGGCTTTCACTGCACTCTCTTATTTGACAGTGAAACGGTCCAGAAAGCCCCTATCTGTGCCTTTTCACAGGGAGCCAGCTCGTGGATTAGCACGTGAGGGTCAACAGGATGCTCTTTGCCCTTTCCCCTAAAAGGGGACAGAAATACCAGCTGGTTTTCTGGCATTGAAAATGGAAGTATCAGCAGCTGCTGAGTGCTGCTAGTTTAAATATTTATACCACAAGGACTTTATCACACCCTCTTTCTTTGTGCAAAGCTCCCGCTGGTTTCGGTGGAGGTCAAACTCTGAATCCGCACGGCAGCTACCGGGTCAGGTCTTCCAAGGCATAATGGTACGAGCGGAGCTCCCAGGCAGGGGCTGTGCCCCTGTTATTGTGTCAAGAAGGGTAAACAAGCTGTTTTTTTTAAAGAAGTAATTATGTAGACAAACCTGTCAGCACAAGCATGGAATACCCGTGCATACGCTCGACGTCTGCCAGCCTGACAAGATCCAGGCGCATACTTGAGATACTGGAAAGAAGACCGCGCTGCTGGTGCTGCCGTCTGTCCGCCCCTGACACGCCGAGCTGGGCAGACTGGTGTTGGCAGTCGGGACTCGAGAACGGGAGGAGAGGGGAAGGGACAGCCTGGGGGGCATCTCGGGATCCCGAGCTTGCTTCATCCCCTGCTTTGTAAGCCAGCCCAAAAGCAGACATTGGCGAGCTGCCCAAATGTTTTTCTCTCTTGCAAAGCACGCTTCCTTACGTTTATTAGGCTGACGGGCCTGCCTGTCCTTGCAAATGTGCAATTGTGACAGAGAAAACGTTTAATCTTGGGGTGGACCTGCTGGAGAGCAGCTCTGCGGAGAGGGACCTGGGTGTCCTGGTAGACGACAGGTTAACCATGAGCCAGCAGTGTGCCCTGGCTGCCAAGAAAGCCAATGGGATCCTGGGGTGCATCAAGAAGAGTGTGGC